TGAGTCAGTCAGGTCACTGATGGATAATTTTGCTGTGAGTGTTACATTTGATTGAGAAGTTTTGGCTGAATGAATGATCATTTTCATTCTCAGTTTAATTGTTATTGAATAGGGAGATGATGACGAGAATATCCCGTGCCCCTGAGCAAGTGTTGAGGTGATCGGATGATTTAATTTTGAGGACATATTTTTACTAACATTTACTTTTCCACCAGAACTTTTAAGTTCTTTTGTTCCTCAGTCTTCAGGTTGTAATTTATTTTTTGTATGGACAGGTACTGTAGGTCTGCTAAAGGAAAAGCATTGTGGCCAGTGCCCAGTGGCCGGCCATCAAGATCTGATATTCCTGCATGCAAATACTGTGGTGGTACTAGAGGTTTCGAGTTTCAGGTGCAAATTTCTTTATAGCTCAACAAACTCAACTATTAATTTTAAAAAGCAAGAGTAAAGAGTCTCTTGGAGCGTAATTTTAAGATTTAACTCTTTAAAATAAAGACATCTCACGAGTCTCTTTGAGATGCTCTTAGAGGTTTTGGTAAGTAGGACCGTTTACTAGGACAAATCTTTAACTCCAAAACTTTGCAGATGGTACAACCGCCAACCAGTAAAGAGCAAAAATAAAGAGTTTGTTGGAATGTATAAAAAAATTGTATTCTTCAAATTTATAGATGCTCTTTAAAAATAGTGTCTTGGAGATTCACTAAGCCTTTGGTTCATAAACTCCTAGCTAATTATCGAAGATGCAAAAACTGGAAGGGAGAAGGATTGAATGTTTGCCTTGCTACCATTTTCGAAGCTCCAATTGCTTTGGAACTTTTAACATGATCTCAGCAAGTGTTTAGTTGTACAACTTTTAATTTTAATGACCTGCTCAATTAGCTGTACGTAAATTGTTACCGCGGTTTGACTGTTCAAATTCAAATAATCTGGCTGGACCAAAAGGGAGCCTGATGGTTAGTGTTTGGATTTTATCTACATCCTTGTTTTCCCTTCTGGACCTTAGATTCATGCTTAGGTTGGTTCTATGATTTCAGGTTTTGCCGCAGCTACTTTATTATTTTGGGGTGCAAAATGATGTAGATTCTCTTGATTGGGCAACAATTGTGGTTTACACGTGTGAGGCTTCATGTAATGGAGACAGTGGTTACAAAGAAGAATTCGCTTGGGTTCAACTTGCGTCCTAATCAGCATCTTAAAGATAAAAACTCCTCTCAAAAGTATAGAAATGAAAACCGGGTTGCAAGGAGGAATTTTCTCCGGTTCAACTTTGTGTAAGAATGAAACTGGATCCTCTTTCTTTGTTATGCATGAAGAAAGTAAATTCGACGCCTTTTAAGTTGCCGGCAGTTTTTTCTACAGTTGTTTCTGTATAATGATTTCCCACGAGCATTGTCACGCTTATGTTAAATTCCCAGCATTCACGACATTTACACAAATTGCTTATTGAATATGTGTTCTTTTTCCGCGTGCGAGGATGTTTTTCATTAGCAAATATTACTGAAATAGTACTACAGAGTGGATGAATGCTAAAGTAAATTGTTAGAATAATGTTATTCACAGTAAAGACTACCGGTAATCACCCTATGTGATATACACAACAATTTGTTATTTGATACACAAGGCAATAAAAAAAATCACATTAATGCATCAAATAATAAATTGTCACGTATACGTCACATATGGGGACTGTCCATAGTTCACTTTGAATAACATTACTCAAATTGTTATGACAGTGCTTGAATAGATATGAGATAAATGCAGCAGAAGTTCCAAACTTTTGATTTGTCGCAACCGTCATTCCAAAACTTTCCAAATGTCATAGGTGAAGTCCTTTTCGATAGTTTCGTCAATAATTCTGTTTGTTGACCAAAAATTTAATTTCGACAACATTTTTACTATTTTGAAAAGGGGCAAAAGAGTAATCACATTAAATAATGAAATAAAAAAAAAAAGAAAAAAAACACACACACACATCCGTCTTTTTCCTCTCAACTCTCACCCTTACCCACCCTCGCCTGAAACCCAAAACCCACACCGACCACCTCCAACTCCATCTTTTAGTCTAAAGAACAATAGAAGCAAGAACTACAGTAATTAGCAAGAAAAGAATTGATTTTCTCAGCTTCATCTTTCAATCTTCAAGGTTGAAAATTAAACATACAGATACATCTGCAACATGAAATTGAAGATACCCAGAAAAAATGAAACAAATTGATCAAAATCAAGCTTTAATCCAAGATTCGATTCTAGAAATGTAAACTAAATAGAACCCAGTAAATTGCGTGCATGATATGTGGTCTTAAAATGGAGTGTATATCCGTAAGAAGAATCTTTCTAATATTTACAGCAAAATAAACAGCTTAGAAAAAGTGGGCACAAAAATCAATAGAAACAATGATTTTTTCAAAACTTTCGAGTCCAAGAAATCTCGTAAAAGGAATAATTAAAAAGAGAAAGAGCACAATTACTGGCAACAGATAGAAACTGTGTTGCTCTCGACAGGTGGTTGGTGGAGGTGGCGGCGGCGGCGGCGGTCGGTGTGGATTTTGGGTTTGAGGTGGGGGTGGATGAGGGAATTAAGAAGAAGAAGAAGACGATTGTGCGCGTGTATGTCTTTTTCTTATTTCTTATTTAATTATTTAATATGATAAATTGAAAGTTACTCTTTTGCCAATTTTTAAAGTATTAAAAATGTGGTCAAAGTTAAATTTTTGATTAATTTATAGAATTATAGATGGAAACGGTCTAAAAGGGCTTCATGTGTAACATTTGGAAATGTTAGGGGTGACAGCTGTAACAAATCAAAGGATTGGGGAAAGTCTGCTAATGTTTCAACAGTTTGGGGTTTTTGCTGCAATTTCCCTATAAATAACACTATAGAGTCGAGAAATTGATTTTGAAAAAAAATCAATTTTGAGTCATTTTTAGAGCCTTGCTAGATAGGCCATGGTAATGCTAGGGAGCTGGAGATGAAGTCTTAATAAAAATCGGAGTTGATCTTCTTTATGAAGGCCGCAGACCTTGAAAATGCCAGGGGCCAACCGAGGCTTTGGTAAAGAAGATGAACTCTCATTTTTATTAAGAATTCATCTCCAATCATTACATCCTTTTATTCGCCACCTTCCGTCAATCAATCTCCAGCAACAATGTATACAAGAATATTTTACAATACCAAAGAAATGATTATTAATTTAAAATGAGGGAATAATGTCGGAAGCAATAATAAGTACTACCAAATGTTGGAAGGGAATAGAGAAGACGACAAAAATGAAAGAATCAAAAAAGTTAAATATGGTAGAAATGCTCAAACACGTAATTGTTGTTTTCAAACGATATTTGCTACCTCTAAAATTTAATTGATATTTAAAGGGACTCTTGTCAAATGATTTGTATGACTGATCAAGCCTTGAAGAATAAAATACTTAAAACACTTGTATTTATCTTCCAAAACTTAAAGAACGCTATGAATGTTTGGATATATAAATAAATTTGATTTAAAAGCACTATAATATGGTTTTGATTATTGATGTGTTATATTTGTAAATCTATAACCTATTTATAAATTTTAATTCACCATTCAAGAAATAGTGCCATACTAATAAAAAAAGTTGTGTATTTTCATGCAAAGCAGCCTAAAAAAAAAAAAAAGGAGCATAAGGCTTGTTTTTTGGCCTATGCGTATGCATAGTATAATATCCATGAGCACGTATGGTATAAATATTTCTGCTTTTGTTTTAGCAGGCGCAAACCATGCGTACTCATGGTTGAATATCCTATGCGTACGCATAGGCAAAAATCAAATTTGCCCAATTTTGATTCCAAAACCAATTCATCTCATTTGGTTCTAGTTTATCATATTTCATCCATTACATTGGATCCAAATTTAATCTTGAACAATAATTATAACAATCCTCCACTTGTTCAAGATTATGTAGATCACATATTCAAAATAGCAACACTTAAGTATAATGATTAGATATCTTTTGATTTAAATCTAGACATAGTGTAATTCTCACAAAATAGCATCGAAATTCCATATACCATGATAGATTCGAACTAGTTATTCCTTGTGATAATATCAATAAAAAAACACACACAAATGTCATGTGTTCACAAGTTCCTCAAACTTGCTTAACGCTAATATGGCATTGCGCTCATCTTTTTCAACAAACTTTTAAAAGAGACTCCAACTCTCTATTGAGGCGGCACCACCTTGAAATTCATTTAGGTGAAATTCTTCCAATACCTTTGTTACTTTTAGAGATATTTGTACTTAGTACTAAACTTAATTAAGAGCTTAAAGTTCAACCATCGCTTGAGTAACAGCTAGTATTATATAATTAGAATATGGTTATCGTAGATTTTATAATACTAAAACTATCCACATATCGAATGACTTATTGTTACCCTTAGAACCCGTTGATTATTTGTTAAGTAATGACTGATAGGGGTCGCCCTCATTGGTGGATCTTTTAGTTTAAGAGCTTCAACCCCATCATACTCGAAGTAGACATTATTAAATCTCTATTTAGAGGTTTAGTTAAATGATCCGTTAAGTTATCTATTGACTTAACATAATTTAAGGAAATTATTCTACTCTTGATTGATTTCCCAATGTAGTCATGTTTAGAACTCATATGACTAGACTTCCAATGTTTACCTCATTGTATGTCTTTGTTGACGTGGCTTGACTTTCACACATGATAAATATCAAAGATGTATTCTTCAGTCCCAAAGGTATTGATAGCCCAAAAATAACTAATCAAGAGGGGGTAAATTGATTTTTAAAACTTTTTCGAAGAATTAATCTAAATTCAACCAAGTAAAGACTAAATAGATTAATTCAAATAATAAGCAAAAATATAAAAGCGAAAGTAAAAGGGATAGAAAGTGCAAACGATATGTTATGGAGGTTCGANCTAAATTCAACCAAGTAAAGACTAAATAGTTTAATTCAAATAGTAAGTACAAATATAAAAGCGATATGTAAAAGAGAAAGATGACGCAAACGATATAATTGTGGAGGTTCAATCCAAGACAATGATCTAGGTCTTTCGTTACCAAGCTCTCCGACATGAGCAAGGTTTTTTCACTATGTTGATTGACTTATGGTACAATCCAACCATTTACAACGCTTCCGGTGACTTACAAACAATAAACACCGATCCTTATACAATGTTGAGTTTTACGGGACTTCAACACGACCCACACTATTGAGCTTTACGGGACCTCAATATGACCCACACGGTGACTTATAACAAGGAGCACTGATCCTTATATAATGTTGATCTTTAAGGAACTTCAACGCGACCAACACTTTATCAAAGTGATTTTATAATGAAATTCCTCTCTTGATAATTAATACAAACAAATTAAGTACTAAAAAAAGCTAACACTTCAATGAATAGTAATAAATGATAGTTCAAGTGTTAGATGAACAACTTTGATAAATATGATAGTCAAAAACTAGATTCGATCAATCAAAGTGTTTCAATAAAAAGTTGAAGAAATAAATACAATGTAGGTTCAAAAATCTTCTCAATAAATATATCTCTTTTAATGGATTCTGTAATAAATTAAGTACTAAGAGAGAAATGAGAAACTTTGATGAGTATGATGATTTTACAAATTTAGTTGAATAAATCAAAATTTCGATATGAAGAAGAAGAAGAAGAAAAATTTATGCAATGTGAGCACAAAAATCTTCTTCAAAAATATATATCTTTTTCAATAAATAATTTGTGATAAATTAAGTACTAAGAAAGAAATTAGAAACTTTGATGAATATGATGTTTACAAGTTCGATTCAAACAAAGTTTCAATATGAAGAAGTAGAAAAAGTTTATGCAATGCAAGTGCAAATATCTTCTTCAAAATATATCTCTTT